TTAGTTAAAAATTTTTTTATTAAAATAAAGTCAGGTTAATTTAAATATATTTAATTTAATTTAGTTAAATCAAAGCAATTATAGTTGAACATACTTTGAAACAGATTCAAAATATATCAAATCAGTTTCAAATTATTTTTGCATTGAATCCGAATTGAATTCAGATTCAGATTCATATTGGATCAAATCAAATCAAATTCAAATTCAAATCAGATTAGATCAAACTGCTATAGTTTTGAATCGAATTAGATCAGTTTAAAATAAATTAGATCCATATCCAATTTGTATTTATAAAAATTGAATTGAATCGAATCTAGTTAAAATCTGATCTGATTCGATCTATTATGATTACTATATCTCAGTCAGACAAAGTTCAAGACTAAGGTTTTCTTTTTATTTTAATTAGACAATAAAATTGAACAGTCTCTAGTTCATACTAAACTTCAACCCTTTGGTTACAGTTGAGAATGTATTTTTTCAAAAGTTGTTGATGGATATTACAATTGATAAGAATTCCTATTTTTTTCATGATCTTTTTATCATTACAAGGCAAAAAAATTATTGGGAAATCTGATCTTTTGGGTAATAGAAGATGTATATCAGTAAAATTTCTTTAACTAGGTATAACTGTTGAAAAATATTATACTGAAACAACATGACTCAATTTCTACTAGGTCATATAAAAACCTGGAATCCATTATAAATTACCTCTCTATCACAGGTGAATAAAAAATCCCTGTCCAAAAAAGGTTGAGATCAAGTGTATCCTAGAAGCAAAAGCTCCTACTAGGTGATAAATCTCCTCAGATAATACATAAAAGAAAATTAAGATCAAGAATGGATAAGTTTTTTAGATAGTTAAGAAAAGAAAGAATATTTCAATCAAATATTTTTTATTGAAAAGAAGTCTTTAAAATCAGGTTTTTGAAAGAAGCTGAAATTTTTTTTTTTTTTTGATTTTTATCTTTTTATTTTCTTATCTATTTAAACATTTTTAGATATTCACTTTTTCCTTATTTTCAATCTATTTTTTGTAGTTTTCTGTATTCTAGTAGCTTGGTTAGACATACAGTGATAACAACCTGCTAGCAATAATACAGTGAACTAGAAGGGTTTTTATCCAAAGATACTATGGAGCAAAATATTGTTCTTAAGATTGAACTTAGAGACTCTTATGCTTAGTTAGATTAGAATAATAGTTTACTTGTAGTATGTATCATACTGCTTGAATCAAAATATACTTATGTTTTCAATTGATTAATAAATTAACAATCTAGCCTGGTTATGGGTACTCAAAAAAAAAATACTAGTTATAATTTAAAAAAAAATTTTTTTTAATTTTTTTTTCAAACTACTATATAGTATATATATTATATATACTTGTATATTCATTTTAATTAATAAAACTATTTTTTAGATTTGATTGCACAAATTTATAGCAATATTTAAAAATACATATTTGCCAATAGTATAAAAAAAACATTGATTGCATGGAAATTATACCAATCCAGTCTTTTGTCAGAATAATGTCAAATATTATGTACTTCACGTGACGTGACAATAAAATGATCGGAATCTCCGGTGTTACTCGTTACTACTGTATCCTTCTTGTCAATATTTATTATATAAATTTTGCGGTATAAAATCCACCATTATTATGTTACGTTTAATTGTATACCAATTATCTATGTAGGAAGAAAGTTAGCTATCAAAGAAAGAAGAAGAGTACCTTCACCAAAGATAGGTACCCAACTTTACTCAAGTACTGTAATCAAAATGAACTTTTAAATAAAAGAATAATTCAATATCGGAAATTTTGATTACATTCGAAAAGGTTTCTTTATTCGATAACAAAATTATCTACTGTAATAATAATACAATATTGTACTGTAAATATATTTTTACGATTTATGGATTAAATATACTGTATGTATAAGGAGAATATTTTACAAATACAAAAATCATCTAAGATTTAATGTAATTATTTTAAATAATGTGAATACTGTATATAAAGTAATATGCTATAAATATTTCTAATAAATTAGGGTGTTTTAACTGACTAACTCGTCGTTATAAGTAATTCAAGATTTCGTAAACCTCAGCCGCCACATCAGAACGTTCTGCCTCAACCATCTGTGCCTTAATCTCGCCTTTCTTACTCTCGTTAGCCATATACCTCTTTACTTCATCGTGTTCTTTCTTTTTATCAGTTCGCGTAAATAGAATACGTTGTCGCTGCTGATGTAATGATTTATTAAAGTTAATAAACCTGCTTGTATATACAGCGTCTGGATGCGTCTTTGTCTCCGCATACGACTCGAACTCGTCTGCTTCCTTAAATTGTCTCGATATGTAACTTCCTGGTACAAACATCACTTTTGATAACCACTCTCCCAGTTTCCTGTACAATTCTTCAGCGCTTGGTCTCTCGTTGGGATTGCGACTCCAACATTTTCTAATCAATTTTGCATAAATCTCAGGTATTACTTGTTCATTTTCTTCATTCGAATGGTATTTCGCCTCAGGTGTTAAGTCATTACAACATATGTCGATCGCAAGTTCCACATCATGCGCGCGATTCGCAAATGGCATTTCGAACCGGGCAAGTTCCCACATTATTGTTCCAAAGCTGTAAATGTCTGCGGCTTTTGTGTAAGGTTTATTGCGCAATATTTCAGGCGCTATAAATGGCAGGACCCCAAATGTCCCACCATTTTTATTGTCAAGGTCATCTGATATCTTGGAATTGACGTTTTCCGCCTTGTACCCTATTCCAAAATCTCCCAGCAAAATTTTGGAAAAATGTACCAATACATTACCACTATGCAAATTCTTATGCATTAAGTTATTCTGATGTAATCTCATGAGCCCGACAGCTATTCCGTATAATATATCCAATCGTTTTTTCCAGGTAAATGTCTTGAAGTTTTGTTGGTAATAGGTTCGAATGTTTCCATGTTTTGCGTATTGAGTTACTAGCATGTAATTTTTGGTCTTTGGGTTCTGGGTGATGCCATGACACCGGGAAATGAAGACTCCACTGTTGTTCTCGGTGCAGAGTAGATTACCTAACTGTAAATTTAAAAAACAATTAATAATGTGCATATTAATTCCGAATTGTGGTGCGTTCTTTATTTGCAGGACAGAGCAGATGCTTACTTCATTGAAAAATTCAAAGTCCACGTTCATTGAGTTATTGAAGCTTTTCAATGCCACTTTCCATTGCCCGCACCTTACATATTGTAATTTCTCCTGATCCCATTTTTCACATGGCCCGTCTAACCATAACGCATGATATACACTTCCAAAACCTCCCGATCCAATATACGTTAGATCCTTAAACCTATCGTAGGGTATCCACTCTAGATAATTGAATCTGCTCTCTGAAGCAAGTTGACTTTCCAATATTAACGAATCGATATGATCATTTCCGCTCGTCCAAGTTCCAAATTTTTCCTCAAAAATCTTGGATTGACATGGAGAACACCATTGCATGTAATAACCGAAATCCACCATCGGACCCTCGCATGTCGGACACTTGACTGACGATAGTTGCAAGTTTTTCTTTGTTATCCCAGATGATTCGTTAGTGTCTTTTTTTGGTTTGTTTTCGTCTATAGTGAATGGCTCTTCTATCTTCCTAACATATTCGAGTCTCGCTGGTGCGGTATTTCGTCTTTTTTTTTTCTCCTCAGGTGATTTTTTATTTTCAGAACCCGAATCATCATCATCATCATCAAATTCTCTATCCGATGAAAACAACCTGTCCTCAAATCTACTAAAAAGTAGCAAATTCCTCTTATTCATTCCATCATTAACCAAAGGCTCTACTAACCCAAACCTCCTCAGATTTGCTGCACTATTCCGAGAATGGTTATTTATTTGTAGTTGCTTCGTTGGAGAGGGAGGAATTTGAGATATGTGTTTCTTCCATTCTATGAGGTCGAATTCTGCTCGATAGTTTGCAGAAACTCTACCAAGGTTATTGTATCTGATTTCGCGTTCTTCGGTTTCATGCGATTTCACCCAGGAAATTTTATGAGGTTTACGAGGAATGACTTTTGCGTATTCGATGTTAGCCTCTTCATTCTTGGACTGTGCGATTAAATGGATAAAGGTTAGTGCGAGTTAAAAAGACTGAATAAGATAGCATAATAAATAATAGATTGCTAAAGATAAATTGGTATTTTATTTTACCTTGCCAAACCATCTTAGGACCTTACTTGGCGCCATATTTACATTAAAATTTAGGGGGAAATAATTGGGAAGGGTTTTAAGTGTTTATTGTGAAATCTATTGTTTCAATCCCGTTTTTTCGAATTTAAAAGTAGCATTCATCAAAATTAACGAGGTTATGTAAAATAATATATATATGTACATAATATATATATATTCAACAATGATGCTAAAAAATAATTTGTAAGACTTTTATATGTACTTTGTTTGAAACCGTCGAAACATGCACCGGGACACAGGAAGCATTCATTGTCACATAGGTCGTTGTGTAAATATTGGTTAAATCTCTACAATCAACGTTTGAAATCGATCATGGAATTGGCCTTAGTTAAAGGTACTGCGTACAAAGAGGGAAACACTTTTTTTGGATACGCGTATTTTTAAGTATGGAAATCCGTTCTTCTAGTTGCGATTTCTACTGGTGACACCTGAACGTCAATTTATCTTGTACCATCAATTTTAAATTGCCAAACTCGTGTTTGTGTATTGTTTTGATTAAAAGTCGGATTCATTTATTCAATGATTAATATAAACACTATACATTTAGCTTTTGTGCACACGTTTTCTTCAAGCACGCCAACTCTTGCGCAAATGGTAGTAACATGCATTGTCGAATTACTAGAAGCCTTTTTATTAGTAATTGGTATTTTCTAGAGCACCGCCTTAATCACTGCTCAAATTTGGTAATATAGACGTATAAACTCGACTCTAAATGTGGTCGGTGATACGACTGTGAAATGTGGAAGCACATACTTGCATACAGTATATTTATTAGTGAAACATTATAGATTTATTTTGAATAATCTAAATCTAAATATTTGTGAAATGAAATTTAGATAATCGGAGATTGTAAATTCTATTTGGAAAACTACAATGCATCAATGGTCAGTGGGGCCGTTAAAAAAGCTACTCTTTATGGATTTATGAAATCCGGACTTTAGACCAGAGAGTCCGTCTCAGGATTATTTATCGGGGTCAATAAAAAAATATATTATTAATTGTCATATTCTTTATAAGTTTATTTGTTGAGAGTTTTCTAATAAAAATATATTAATTGGTTAAAAATTAATATGCAAATATTTTTTGTTTACCTGTTATATATTTCACTCAAACTTTTATTCTATTCAACACACTCATCAAGATTAGGTACAATATTTAAAATTATTTTTTTTTTAAATATTTCTCTTTTTTTTTTTTTTTTTTTTTTTTTTTTTTTTTTTTTTTAAAGGGTAACTTTCGCCCAGT